AGAGAGTGCCCCAGTTTTTTGAGTCACTGAATGGGCCCCCGTCTCACTCATCTCAGCGAGTGAGCTGACCTTCTCTCCAGAAAGCGAGTGACCTAAGACAAGGTGTCTTAACCAGGCCCTCCCTCCCTCCCTCCCCCAGGGTTACCTTCCCCCTACCAAGAATGGGGCTGAGCCCAAGAGGCCCAGCCGCCCCATCAACATCACACCCCTGGCTCGACTCTCAGCCACTGTTCCCAACACCATCGTGGTCAACTGGTCATCTGAGTTTGGACGGGTGAGCGTGGCTGAGGCAGGGAGCCTCGAGAAGCCTGCAGGGAGTGAGAGGGGATCATCCAGTGCACTGGGCTGGGGAAACATCTTTCTCTTCATGGGTCTCTCTGCATTAACTTGCTGTCTCTGGCCCTCATGTGACAAGGTGGGGGGCTGCTGGTGGTGGTGGTGGTAGTGGTGTACAAAGCAGAGGCTGATTGTCTCCCCCCGCACCTCCAAGTAGAATTACTCCTTGTCTGTGTACCTGGTGAGGCAGCTGACTGCAGGAACCCTTCTACAAAAACTCAGAGCAAAGGGCATCCGGAACCCAGACCATTCCCGGGCACTGAGTGAGTAACATCCCGTCCCTCTTCTCTCTGACCAGGACCCAATTCTTCTTGGCCCTCGAGACTTTACAGTTAAAACTCATACCCTCTTATGACAACTTACTTCACCTCTCACATGAACCCCAACCCGTGCCGTACCCCCATTACCAATCTTTGTGGTTGAAAAGTGGGGCCACTTCAGGCGTTGACACCCTTGCATTACCAGTTATACATCTGCTTTGCACCTCGCAGACCTTAACTCCAGCCCTGTTGGAATATGGGTTCTCCAGACTAGAAAGTGTCTTTAAGTATCATCAACACTAACCCTCTTGTGATGCTTCAATTCCCTCTAGGTCATCTCTGCCAAAGTGTCACCCAGCTGTACTTAAGCATCTTCAGGGATGGGGAAATCTCTCCCCGCCACCTAGCCTTCGTAATGCAGATCCCAGACCACCCCCATGTGACATCCCATTGGCCCCCAAAGGCGCTCTACCCAGCTGCCTCTCAGCCAGAGCCATCTGCTTCTGGCCTCACCACCTCCCGGGCTTCTCTCCAGCCTTGCTGACCCCATGGCTCTGGCCCCACTCTTGTTTCAGTCAAGGAGAAGCTGACCGCTGACCCGGACAGTGAGGTGGCCACTACAAGTCTCCGGGTGTCACTCATGTGCCCGGTGGGTACAAGGGAGAAGAGAAGGGGGAGGAGTGGTGGGTTAAACCTCTAGACTCAGATGAGGGTTCGCAGGGCTATTAGAGTGAGGCTCTCTGGGACATGGGGACTCTGACCAGAGAACTTGTCTCTCCTCAGCTAGGAAAGATGCGCTTGACTGTCCCTTGTCGGGCCCTCACCTGCGCCCACCTGCAGAGCTTCGATGCTGCCCTTTATCTACAGATGAATGAGAAGAAGCCAACATGGACATGTCCTGTGTGTGATAAGAAGGCTCCCTATGAATCTCTCATCATTGATGGGTAGGGCCGTTCTGCATTCAGCTTCCTTTTACCTAGGACATCCACGAGGACTGGCCCCTGCCCCCATATATAAATATATATCTGTAACTTACTTCTCCTCCCAACTCTTAACATATCTGTCTCTTTTATATAAATATTACCTATCTATCTATCTCTCCCTCCAACATTGAGGACTTCACTACACACCGTACTAAGTACTTTGCATGCCTTATCTCATTGAGTCCTATGAGATGCCAGTAACCCTGTGAGACAGGTACTGTCATTACAGGTGAGGAAGCTGAGACCTAGAGAGACTGAGTATCTTGCTCAAAGTTACATTGTTAGTAAGTGGCAGAGCCGGTGTATCAAACTGTTACATCAAACAATTACCTGACCTCTTACTGAACATAGCAATAAAGTTCTTTTGATCTAGCGACTCCTAACCTGCTTCCAGAGCCTACCTTATGATTCTTGTTCCCAGTGCCTCTTTTTGAGGTAGCTTATAGAGTTCTGTTATCTCTGCTCCTTCTGTTTTGTTCCTAGTACTACATGGAACACGTGCTTAGAATGTACTTATTTTAAAACTCGGCATTTAAAATTTTCAAAGCTCTTTTATGCACCTTACTTTATTTGATTCCAACAACTCAGAGAGGTCAGGAGGGTGGGTAACATCCCTAATTTACAGGTGAGGAAGCTGAGGTTCAGGAAGGTGAGTCCCAGAACTCCCTAGCTACTGTTGCAGCCATCTCCCAGCCACATGAATTCCCATCTCTCCTCTCCCCTAGTTTATTCATGGAGATTCTTAATTCCTGCTCGGATTGTGATGAGATCCAGTTCATGGAAGATGGATCCTGGTGCCCAATGAAACCCAAGAAGGAGGCATCTGAGGTTTGCCCCCCGCCAGGGTATGGGCTGGATGGTGAGTGACCCCCTGTCCCCCAGTTGAGCTAAGTCTTGTATGGCCTCTTCTCTGAGACACAGTCTTCTTACCAACCACAGGCCTCCAGTATAGCCCAGTCCAAGAGGGCAATCCATCAGAGAATAAGAAGAAGGTTGAAGTTATTGACTTGACAATAGAAAGCTCATCAGACGAGGAGGACCTGCCCCCGACGAAGAAGCACTGCCCTGTCACTTCAGCTGCTATCCCAGCTCTACCTGGAAGCAAAGGGTATGAAGAAATAGGCTGAATCTATAGCAGAAGGGAGAGGAAGAAGTCAGGAACACTTTCTGATCACTGGGCAAACTCTGGGGCAGAGAGGGCACTTGAGAGGCTGAGCTGGGTGAGGACATCTGTGATTCCTTCTGTCTCCTCACAGAGTCCTGACATCTGGTCACCAGCCATCTTCGGTGCTACGGAGCCCTGCTATGGGCACGCTGGGCGGGGATTTCCTGTCCAGTCTCCCACTACATGAGTACCCACCTGCCTTCCCACTGGGGGCTGATATACAAGGTATGACACTGATCACAAGGCGGGACCGTGCACTGCCATATCCTCCCCCAAACCAGCTCACAACCCTTGCTCCTTTTCAGAGCTTTTTGGCTGTTTTGCAAAGGGCCACAATCCAAGGAACTTCTTTGATTTTGTGTGTGTGTGTGGGGGGGCGGGGGTAGAGGGGTCAGATAGGAGGTTGATTTTAATTTTTCTTCTCCTACCAGGTTTAGATTTATTTTCTTTCCTTCAGACTGAGAGTCAGGTAAGTGGTCCCTTCTCCATCTCAGATCTCTGAAGCTTCCTTTCTAGGCACTGATGGTCCCCCTTACTCTCTCATTTTCCCCAGGGACCTTAATGTGCTTCTCCATGAAGGAAGGAAACTGCGGTACAAGCAGTTTATTTCCCTCCTAGGCCCCACTGGGATTTCTTCGGATTCTCACCCATGTCTTCCTCTGTCCTCTGTTACTTACTGTTCTGTCTCCAGAGTTTTTAGTGTAGTTCTGCGCCTGTCTGCTCACCCCTCCCCACACCCCCAAACCCATGTGCACTTGAGCACCATGACTGCCCCAGCTGGACATTCCACACATTTCAGACGCCCACAGGGCCGAGAATCTAGCAAGCTGGTGGGGCTGTCTCCAGGCAGGGAAGAGGGGTGGGGTGTGGGGAAGTAGGGGAAGGAGTCAGAGGGAGGCCCTCCTGCTTCTCAGAGGATACTTTGGGACCCCGAGGGCTTTATTTATCCCATATGATATTTCTGAGATGAGTGACTGGGAGGCGGGTAAAGTCAGGATAAAATCTTACACCATGCTCTTGATTCCTCCCAGCACTATGGTCCGTCCGTCATCACCTCGCTAGACGAACAGGATGCCCTGGGCCACTTCTTCCAGTACCGAGGGACCCCTTCCCACTTCCTGGGCCCGCTAGGCCCCACGTTGGGGAGCTCTCACCGCAGCACCACTCCGGCACCCGCTCCTGGCCGTGTCAGTAGCATTGTGGCCCCTGGGGGAAACTTAAGGGAGGGGCATGGAGGACCCCTGCCCTCAGGTCCCTCTTTGACTGGCTGTCGGTCAGACATCATTTCCCTGGACTGAGTCCCCTGGATTGTGGAACCGTCACTGCCTCTCAACACTGAGCAAGTATGCTGTGGAGTCTGGAACCCTGGCCCCTCTGACCCCTCAGAAGGGCTTTGGTCAAGGCCAGAAAGATCTTAATGGACACCTGTTTTTGGCCTTATCTCTGCCTGACAAGGCTAGCACCCAAAGGGTTAATATTTAACCTCTTTTAAAGGACATTTGGGGTCTGTTTTTGGAAATGTTCTTTGATGTCCAGCCCATTCCTTTGGGTCTGTTAACCTAGGCAGTGGGAGGCAAATGGGATGGGATGTGAGTTGGGGAAAGGGCTGAATCCTCAGCCTTGACTGTCTAAAGCCTCGTGGGGAAGGGGCCCTTCTCGTGTCCCCCAGATGCCCTCTCTTCCCATTCCCCAAAGCCGGCTGTGTTCCTTCCCCATATCCACTGTCTCTTCATGTCCATTCCGTTCTCTTTGGCCAAACAGACAGCTGGAGTAACTGAGATAGGCAGACACATGGACAGAGAACTCTATTTTGGGTTGCATATTTTTTGTGTGTAAACGAGAAAAACCAAAATACTCCAAAGATGACTTTCCCTGCCTCCTGCTTCCCAGTGTGACTGAGGAGGAGATAAGGCCTTAGCCCTGATCCCCAGGGGTTTGGGAGAAGGGCCTGGCCAATCGCCTGGGTCTCTCTATTTATATATTTAAGTAAGTTCACAATGATGCTTATGCTGACCAGCCTGGAGCCTGAGCTTCTAAAGGCCCATGGCCCTGTGGTTAGGTCTGGCTCATTCTGCACCTTTCCTGGGAGGTGGGAGCACCCTTGTGCTCTCTCCAGTCTCCCTTTTCAGGCTCCTCTAGGGCCGAGGATCTATGTTGTAATTTTACTTTCTATTCCCACAGTTGTAGCAAAGTTCTTACACATAATAAAGGTTGTGGATGTTCTGTGAGTGTCACGGAGGTGGGCTGGGGAGGGGATTAAGCACTTTGCTTTCCAGATCCCTGGTTTGTGTGTGGGGGGATGGTTCTGTTCTTCCCTTCCCACATTCTGTTCTTCCCTTGCAGGCCCTGGGTCCAAGTGAGTTCTACTTCCACACGGTAGGGGTGTCACACTGAGGATTTCCAAGGGCAGTTCTTTCTTCCTTTCTTTCCCCCACACCCATAAAAACACTAGACCATTCAGCCCAACACTGTGGAGTCCTTAAGTCCTTCTTCATCCTTACCTGCTCAGATGCTGTAGCCAGAGCCTGAGGGCAAACTTGGTCCCAGTGCTGACCCTCTCTTTGCTATCTGCCGTGGCTGGGGTCATCCGCAGCAGTGTGGGCGTGGGCAAGACCAGAGGTCGAGCTCCTCCATTCTCTTCTAGTTCCACTGCACTGCAGAACGACAGCTCCTGTCTGGGCTGTGCTTTGTGGCTTAGCCCACTTCCGTATCCATAAGGTCATCTGATCCTCCCAACCACCACAGGAGAGGGGTGGGTGGGTGTTAACCTCATTTTACAGAAAGGAGGGTTAAATGACCTGCCCCCATGAGAGAGTGGGACTGAAACCCAGGTCTTCAGTGCTAGCCAGTTGGACAGGAACCCTTGGAGTATTATGGGCAGTATCTTTGATCTCATGTGCTCTCTTCATTATCAGTTGACACACTCCCTCCCTAAATCTCCCGCACAGCACAAAATTTCCCTGAAGGACGAGGCAGAAGATGAACTTCTCAGTGTGTGTGTGTTCGTGTGTTGGAGGGTTAGGGAGGAGCTCCTACTTACAGGACAGAAGGCGGTAGGTCCTGGGGAAGATGTCTGGGTGTCTCTGTCCCATCCTCTGTGGCAGCCACTGCAGCTGCTACATCTGGTCCCAGCCACATAAGGGCACTCACTTCTCTTGGGTTTGGTTGGATCCGGGCCTGGAGCCAGACATGTTGATCCCTTAGTCATGGCATCTCTCAGAAGACCTGTTCTGGATCACAGCCTACCCACAGGTGGAGTGGAGAGACTTGGGGCAGGGACAAGGGGAGAGGCTACTGGATTTCTTGGTTATCTCTGACCTTCCCTCTCCCTCTCCTTAGTCATAGTCGGAACCAGTCTGTTCGGTTCTCCTAAGCCGCATTTCCTTCCTCTACTGCCAGCCCTACCTGTAGCTGCTGCTGTGACTCCTGGGAAATGACAAGTAGATAGAGAATGATGTGATGGTATTTGGGGAGACCCCAGCTCAGCCTAGGAGGGTAGGCAGACTAGGAGAGAAGAAAACAGCAAAAATGAGAACTTCCCGTCCCTTGTTGGGGCTTTGTAAATGCAGCTGAGGAAGTGGAGAGTAGAAGTGGTGGAGGAGGGACATGGGTAAGGGTCGTGGGCTTGGGGACTCCAGACCACCCACACTCCATCGGGTCCCACGTGGTCAAGGCAAGTGTGGCTGTTCTCTGGGCTTTGGTGGGTTAGAAGCTGTTAAGGGCTCCCAGGTCCCTGTCTCACCTCCCATAACCCCAGAGGGACCCAAAAGAACTGGCCCTGGGGCAGCTGTAGTCCACTCTCCTCCCGAAGCTCTCGAAGTCCTCCGTCCGGCAGCTGGGAGTGAGGGGGCAGGAGGTCAGAGAGGCCGCCGCCTGACACCTCCAAGTCCTGTTTGCCCTTCCCTCAGCCCACACCCAAGGGGGCCCCTCCTTCAGGGCAGGGTGCAGGTTGGGTCAGTGGATTGGCTACCTCTTCATCAGGTTCCACGTGCCCACCTGCAACAACAGTGGGACCAGTAGGTGAATGGTGGTGTTCCTGGTCAGGGACACTCACTGTTTACACCGCCCCCTCCTCCAGTGGGCACAGATGCAGTTGTAGCCCCTTGTGATTATGGGACCTGTTGATACCACATTTCTGGGCCTACTTCTGTCATTCTGAGACTGGGAATAGCACTGTTGGATAAAGGGCAGATTTCTTTTCCTGGACTTAGGGCCTTGCCCTCAGACCGCTCACCTGGGGGTACCCAGAGGTTGGGGGAAACGTTGAGAGTGCGTGTCCTTCGGGTCAGCAAGACAGTCTGATCGCTGGACTGCAGAACGACTGCCACAGCCAGATCCACACCTCGATTCGTGGTTAGCTCGGCCCCAGGAGCCCTGGGCTGCTGATCCAGGGCCGAAAAAGGGCAGAAAGGGGGTCGCTGGCGGGAGGGAGCCGCTGCGGTTAATATCTCAGAAGCGAGGCGGGGCTTTCAAAAACTCGGCGACACCCCGATGGGGAAAGAGGCCACGGCAGGCGACTGGCCCCCATGCCTCTCGCTTCCAGCCCCCAACCGATCCCAGTCCCTACCTTCGGCCCTTCACCCCCCGCCCCCGCCCCGTGTGCCCCCGTCTCCGGACCTGGAGCGGAAGCCTGGCGGAGGCGCCTGGGAACGGCCTGTCCGAGAGGACGAGTTGTCCCCGCTTGAGGCCGCAGTACGTGGGCCACGGCCCGAGCCCCGGCCCGGCGCCCAGTAGGCCACACACGCTCTGCGCGAAGCTCACCGACTCCGGCCGTCCTGACAGAAGCACCCTCGCCGCCGCCATAACACGGCTCTGGGGTCTCTGCGGCCAGCTCCGCGCCCTCTAGTGGCCCAGCGGGCTTCCCCTCGGAGCCTTCCGCCGGGTGGGAAGGAAGCCCGGCTTCCGGGATTTCCCCCGGGAAATTTAGGCTTGACACTTGGGGATGAACCAGGGGTGTGATAGGTAAATGACAAAGGGGAACACCTCTAAATCTTCAGCTCCTCTTTTCCTCCCGCCTTCTGTTTAGGAAAATGATCCCCAGACTGAGTGATTTCTGGATTCACGTGTCATCTCCCACCAGCCATGGGCGGAACGATAAGCACCCCTCCATGGCACTCTGCACACCTATCTGTTATAGCAGGTAACACCTCCAATTAGTGAATTACATCTGTCTCTTAGCCAGATACCCAAGAAACATTTTTGACACCTTCCCTTTTTTGTTTTTCTCGTTTAGTTTATTTACGGTTGTGTGGCGTCTTAGTTGCAGCATGTGGGATCTTTTGTTGTTGCCTGTGGGCTTCTCTATAGTTGTGACATGCAGGCTTCTCTATAGTTGTGGCATGCAGGCTCCAGAGCGCCAGGGTCCTAGGTGCCCCAGCATGTGGGATCTTAGTTTCCCCACCAGGGATGGAGCCGGCGTCCCCTGCATCGGAAGGCAGATTCTTAACAACTGAACACCAGGGAAGTCCCACCTTCCCTTTCTTTCTTTTCACTCAAATGGCAACCAAGTGCAGCAGATTCTACTTCCTTATACTTTCTCAAATCCATGTCTTAATCTCCAGCCACCATTGCCCAGTTGAAGCCTTCCTCATATTCTGCCTGAGATACTATTACAAGTCTTTAAATAGTCCTGCCTCCACCAATTCATTCTCTACAGTGCGGCCAGAGTGATCTAAAATACAGATCTGCTCATTTTGCTTCCCACTGCTCTCAGGATAAGATAAGCTACTTAACACAGCGTCCTTGCTACACACCCACCAGTCCTTGCCCCTGCCTGTCAATTCTGGTAGGACTTATGCCCTGTTTTTCAGTCACATGTTATTCTCTGTTCCCCCAAGAAACAGGCTCTGCTTCCCTCTGGGATCCTTTTTCCCTTCCACCTGGCAAATCCCCATCTTTCAAAATACAGATTGTGTCACCTTCTCTATGCTCCCTTTCCTGCCTGACCCTTTTCCCCATTGCCTCTGTACATGATACTTTCCCACTATAGCCCCCCCAACACTTCCTTGTATTTATTTGTCTTCCTCCACTAGGCTGTATGCTCAAGGCTATTCATCTTTGCATCCTCAAGGCCTGGGGACATAGCGGGCACATAACTGGTGCTCAGTAAATGATGGTAAGTGCCTTGAAGGCAGAGATGATATTGTATTTATCTTTGTATATTATATCTAGTATAGTGGCTGGCAATTAATTGGCATTCAAATGTTTAATGAATTAGAACATTGGTAAGAGGAAACTGAAGAGATTATAAAACAACACCTGCTTTAAATGAAACTGAAGCTGCTGGGACAAATTATGTCAACTAGATTAGTCATCTATCCATGGTGCTAGGAGAGAGAAGTTAGAATTGCCAGTTTTTAGGAACCATGGTGAAGAGGAAGGCAGTGATTTATTGAGTGCTTACCACATGCCAGGCATTGTGCTAAGTATTTCACATACATAATTTCAGATGTGTTAGAAGCCTGGAGCTGGCAAATGTAACTTTTATCCGTAGATTCTAGTGTGACTGCTTGGGCCAATCCACCTGCTAGCCCTGAAAATAGCTTTTATCCCCCCTCTGTGGTAGTCTTTCACATTCCCTACATTGTGTGTGTGTGTGTGTGTGTGTGTGTGTGTGTGTGTGTGTGTGTGTTTTTAAGATTACAGTTTAACAAAGTAAAGAACAGGTGTAGCCTTTTGAAAATGGAACGAACAGCTTAGGGAGAAGTTTTTCTCACTGTCAGGGATGTTCAAACACAGCCTTAGCTGACTTCTTGGTGGGAACTGATGCATGTGATAGATGATTAATCTAGTTGATTTAAGGTTCTTTCCCCTGCCAAGATTTGATGAGGGTAGAATATAGTGATGATTCTAAAACAGGATCAGCAAACTTAAAAAAATATGTCAAACTCTTTCTGGTGTATTCCGGGTGGTAGGGATAGAGAGAGGGTTTCAGTACAAGAATCTGGAACTTATCCTACTGCAAAGAGTGCATCTAGGCACCTTCTTTATTCTTCCTTCGAATCCCCTCAGATCTTCTGAGGAAGACTCTTCTGGGTCATTGTCTCTTCACGGTGCTCTCGATGTATGACTCCAGCAGGAAGATGGTTTCATCCACCTGGATCTCACAGGCATCCAACCTGAGTGAAAAAGTGAAAGCATTTGCCCACACTGAACATTCATCAGCATATTTAAGATTAGAGGCTGGAGTGGGTGTGGTCATGGAGAATTGCTTGGTTACCCCTGAAAGTACTGGGCGGAAAGCAAGAGAACCAATAGCTCATTCCTCCCACTTACTGAGCATCTCTTATGTGCCAGGTACTGTGGAAATTGCTGAGGATTCAAAAGATAAGGCCTCTGTCCCAGGAGAAGTTACATTCTAACTTGCAATGAGGAGGAAGATAGCACATGTTAAAGGCACAGGTGTAAAAGGACCTAGTGTGTTTTAAAATAGAAGCTGAGAGTGGCTAAGGCTTAAAGTGATTAGGAATAGAAGGGAACACTTCATCAACCTGATAAAAGCCATCTGTGAAAAACCCACACCTAGCATCATACTTCGTGGTGAAAGACAAAGCTTTCCTCCTGTGATCAGGAACAAGACAAGATGTCTGCTTTTACTTCCATTCAACATTTTACTGGAAGTTCTAGTCTGGAAATTAGACAAGAAAAACAAATAAAAGGCATCCAGATTGAAAAGGAAGAAGTAAAGCTATTTCTAATTCACAGATGACATGATCTTATATACAGAAAAAGCTCAAAGGATCCACAAAAAACCTACCACAGCTAATAAATGAATTTAGCAAAATTATAGGATATAAAATCAAAACACAAAAATCAGTTCTATTTCTATACACTGGCAATGAACAATTCAAAAATGAAATTTAAGAAAACACTAAAACAATTGCTTAGGAATAAATCTAACAAACAAGTGCAAGACGAATACCAAAAACGACAAAACTCATTGAAAGAGACAAAGGAAGACCTAAGTAAATGGAAAGACCTTCCATGTTCATGAGTTGGAAGATTTAGTATCATTAAGAAAGCAATACTCCACAGAGTGATCTACAGATTCAAAGCAAAATCCCTATGAAGGTCAACGGTGAGCAGTGAAAGGAAATGAGGAGGAAGAGATAGGCTGTTATGAGACTGTGAAAAAGGCCTTATATGTTACGCCAAGGAGTCTGGTCTTTATACTGTAAACAAGGAGTCAATATAGCATTTAAAGCAGAAGAGTGATATTGTCAATCACTTTAAAGATACTAACTATGAAAGCATTATAAGAAATGGTTTGAAGCAGGAGGTGATTTGCAAAGGTCTGGCAAAGAGGTGAGGAGGGCCTGCATGGGAGGCAAGATGAAAGGCCAGATTTGGGACACATTATTGAAGTAAAATCAGCAGCTCTGGTGAAGGAAAGAGGGTGTGTGTGGGTGGGGGGTGGCTGGTGAGCGAGGAGAAGCTGAACATGTCTTCAGAGTTTTTAGCTTACGGAAATAGTTGTCTTAAATTCTGTTAATTGAGGTGGGGAAGAAGAGAGTGAGTTTCGGTTTCCTCACCTTAAGTTGGAGGGGTAGCAGGATATCAAGATGGATTTGTCTGCAAGGTATTTTGACACATACGTTTGAAGTTTATGATGCTTACTTGTTGACATTACGTTTCAGGGTCTCTAGCTGCTGGCGTTCAGGGGCTGTGATCATCTCCTCTATTTCTTGTAGCTGTGCCTCCTCTGCACCTGTAGCCTGCATAGATGCAATGATGGCTTCTACCCTCTGAGACTTTTCCAGTAGACGCCTGTCAGACAAACGCAACTCTGAGGCATGTCCTCTAGCCTTGGAGATTCTTTTATCCCATAGCCCTGGGGCATAGCTCCCCCTTTTACCATGTTCCTGGTCAAAGTGGATAATGTCACTCTCTAAGGAAGGACATTTTCTACAAGCTTAATTAGAAATGTGACTTCACTCCTGAAACTCTTGCTGCCTCTCATTTGTACTTAAAGTTTGGTGCCAGTTTATACGTTGCTCATAAATTTAATCTGCAAAATTATTTCACTGGGGACATACAAGAAAAGTGTATACTAATGCATCTTTATGCCAACCTAAGCCAATAATTCAGTGCAACCAGACTGCTTATTGTCTCTGTTGGTTTCCACTTCTATAGGAAATTTCCCCATAAGCCTTTTGGCCTTGTAAAATGTAATTACTCAACGAAAATGTTACTCACTTGTTTTCTTTGGTTTCAAATTGCCTCCTTTCTATCAAGTTGGCAACACTCTGAGGGGAGAGAAGACAAGAAATGCACACAGTTCTATTTAAGCAGCTCAGGCAAAATGGCTAAAGGGGGCATGAAGGTGAGACATCTCTGTGGATGGACTGGGGAGGAGTTACCTTGTAGCATCTGTGCAGCAACATTCGGGCAGCTGACAGGATGTTCACAGTATATAAATAGAAGGTCCTGGATGGGGCATGGTCTGGTGTTTTGGGAATTTCCTATTTGTCCATAGAAAGAAAAATAAGACTTTATACTTTTCTTCAGAACTGGCAAAGTAAACACCTGTCCCGTCTGGAGCTACTCAGCCCTCTCTTTCACTTATACTTTCCCTCTTCCCCAGTCATACAGCATCTGTGTTTAAGGTACAATCAGCCACATGGAGGGTTGGGCTGCCCTGTTTTTTCCATTTGACTGTCAACAACCTGAGTGGGGAAGAAAGAGAAGGCACTTAACATTTACTAAGCAACTCTTATGTGCCAGGTAGATCGTATCTGATCTTACAACAAACCATATTGTCTCTGTTACCACCATCCATCACCATTTTGTAGAGGGGAAAAAAG